ATGATGTGAAGTTTGGGCTTCTCCTGAACCTGGCACCTAAATAGTGAACGTGGTACCCAATGGGTAGTTTTCCAATGCTTGCCTCTCCTCCTTCAGGAGTCCCCAGTGGCTGTTGTCATCTTTATGTCCAGAAATACAGATTTGTAAGTGAAATGTGTTCTTAGGAATCTCTGCATCAGGCATGTCCAGCCTGCGACCCAAGACATGTAGTAGGGTGGCCCCACAGACCCTTTTAACATTGTGATAAAATGAGTATTTCTGATGAGCACCTTGAGAAGCCTTCCTATGTATCATGATTCGTGTGTGGCCCAAGACAGTCCTTTAGTTGAAGCCCAAAGGCTGGAAACCCCCACCCCAGATCCTCTGGCTGCTGGACCAAGGCTAGATTGTGAAGTGCCTGTGTTGCTTCTGATGGTCTTTTGTATTCTGTGATACCCACGGACTACATCTTTAGTGGGACTTGTGTTTTGGGGAACAGGCAAATAACCTAGAAATCACTTTACATTTGTTTATTTTTGTTGTGGTAAAACAGACATAGCAAAATTAGCCGCCCTAATCACTTTCAAGTGTCCAGTCTACAGTGCTAAGTAGATTCACGAGGCTGCGCAACCAGCCTCCAGGACTCTTCATCTGGCAAAGGGAAACTCTGCACTCGGTAAACGAGAATTCTCTTGTTTCCCTCATTCCTGCGCACTCTATCCTGTTTCTGTAGGTTGGGTCCTTCTTAACGTGGAGTCGCACACTGTTGTCCTTCTGTGTCTGGATTGTTTTATGTGGCCTGATGTCTGCGGGGTTCAGCCATGGTGCAGCATGTGTCAGAGTTTGCTTCCTCTCTAATGCTGAATTGTACTCCCTGTATGGATGGACCGTGTTGTCGATCTATTCAGCCACCCACCTTGTGGCAATTGTGAGTCATGCTGCTTTGGATACAGATATACAAATACACCTGTGTTCGTTTGTGTATGTACCCATAAGTGGAACTGCTGGATCATGTGATAATTCTGTTTAACTTTTTTTTAAAGTCAGGGTCTCACTCTGTCACCCAGGCTGGAGTGCAGTGACACCATTGTGGCTCACTGCAGCCTTAACCTCCTGGGCTCAGGTAATTCTTTTGCGTCAGCAGCCCAAGCAGCTGGAACTACAGACATGTGCCACCACACCTGGCTAATTTTCTTTCTTTTTTTTTTTTGTAGAGATGAGGTCTGGCTACTTGTCTAGGCTGGTCTTGAACTCCTGGGCTCAAGCGATCCTCTCGCCTTGGCCTCCCAAAGTGCTGGGATGACAGGTGTGAGCCACCGCACTCAGCCTCTGTGTAACTTTTTGAGGGACTGCCAAACTGCACCAATTTGCATTCCCACCAGCAGTGTACAGGGTTCCAATTTGCCCGCATCCCTGCCAACATTTTTCTTTCTTTCTTTTGGCTTGTTTGATAATAACCTTCTAAGGGGTGGTGCTTAGAAGTAACTTTAACTCACAACTCGTTGCACCTTTTTACTTGTGGGTCTCAAACCTCCCGAATGGGCTCCATAAACATCCCCCCCATCCCCGTATCCCCCTGAACCTTGACATCCGACTACCTCCTGTGCCCCTGGCCCCTCCAGGCTGCCCCACTGGCTGCCTTACCTCCCTCCCATCTCTCGCTTCACCTGCTTTCATTCTGGATGACGCCGGCAAACCAGGCTGGCAGTGGCAGAAAGTTCTGGAGGCCGCCGGGCTTATCCTTGGCCAGCGGCACCCAAGTGCAGTCCTCCCACCTCAGGCTCTAGAGTGGCTCTAGAGTAGCTCTAAATTTTGCCACACCGGGCTAAATTTTTATTTTTTTAAGCGGCGAGTCTCACCATGTTGCCCAGCCTGAGAGCCAGACCTCAAAAGGCCCCAGGCCACGTTTCCACGGCTACCCAGAGACGCTGATCAGTACAGGCGGTGGGAGTGAAGGGGACCTCTTTCCGCCTGCGGAGCCGCTTATCCCGCAGAGAAAGGGAGCAGCTTTGGGGGCGGAGGGTCCGGGCCCTAGAGCTGGGTGTCTTCCCTCTCCTGGGAGCGTCTGTTTCTGTCCTGGGTGCCGGGAGGGCTCTGCTGAGGAGGCGGGCGCGTCTCCCTGGACAGTCGACCCACCCCGGGTGGGCGCGAGGCCTGGCTCCCTCGTGTCTCCCGACTCGGACCTGGATCCGCCCGTGGGCCGCCATCGCGGGTTGGCGCCACGCGGTGGCCCGGGCGTCTTCCTCCAGCGGAATCCCGGAGGCGGACAGCGCCCTGGACGCAGAGCCCCGCTCGTTGGCCGGCCGCGACCACCCCTGGTGGCCCGGGCCGTTTGCGGGCCCTGCAGCCAATGGCAGGGAGGGGCTGGGGGCTGCGATGCTCTCGCTGCCGCG